AACCTGCAATGATTTAGTCAGTGACCAATATTCTCACAATCATTTTTGTTTGTTGGATTTTAGATCATTTGGTTGTGGGTGTGTGATTTTCTAGACTCAAGTTTGAAAAGAAATTAGGAAAAGAGTTTAGGCTTAATTGGTTAGCGCTTGACGATTTGGAACGCTATGTCCTAAATCCAATTCCTACTGAGGGTAGAGTCCTCTCCCTACTAAGTCACCCAAAAAAAGTACTTGTGACCTCCTGGTAAATATGATATGGGAAAGATTTCTATACTTCCCCTATAACCGTCCAATTTTGATTAAGAGAGTCATGCACTGTTTAAACTTAGATTCGATGTCTCAAAGTATTTTATTTTTAGCACTTTTTTATACAAATTGTATGAATATGAAATTTGGTATGTGTCATCTTCTCATTAGGGTGCACCTATAAAAAAATATTAAAAAATAAATTTTCACTAAAATATAATGATCAAAATACCCCTTGAAAATGTTAGGGGTATTTTGGTCATTTTCTTTTATTGAAATTATTTTTTTTATATTTTTTACGAGTGCGAGTTTAATAGAGGATTGGACATCCAAAATTTGGGGTCAAAATAGTTCATAGAAAAAATTAAAAATAAAATAGTGTAGAAAAGTGATATGTGATTGAGGCAATCTTAACTCCCCATTCAATATGGACAGTTGGATAAAGGGAAGTATATAAGTTTTATGCTGTAAAGCGTGCCGATATAATATTACTAGTATCTTGACAAAAGGGGATAGTATGCCAAATGAGATTTCATGTTGAATTTGGTTCGAGGATTGACATGCGATTAACCGGATAGGAGCGCTCCAATCAAAGCTAGTAGAATCAAATATTCAAAAAAATATAATTTTATTTATTTTATTTAAAAAATATATGAATTATATTAAAAACATTTGTAGTTGGTTGGTTAAACGGGTCCAAATTGATTGGTCCAACTGGTTAAAACTACGAAAAAGAACATCGGGTTTTAGATATATTTTTTACCTACTCCATTGGTGTTTATCACTGAAAAGGCTAAAGCATTGGTGCAGGCCGGTCTTACCCATAGTTAGCTAAGTTTCCACTTAAAACATGACTCTTTCCAAAAATGTCTGTTTTTTGGAAATCCATTAAGAACTTCGAGTTTTTCAAAAGATATTCAAATAATCACGTTTTTTTTTTTTAATGGAAACAATATAAATCTGTATTTTATCTTCTTCCCTATACTTTATTTTTTTTATTAACTTAATACTATTGGATTTTAATGTAAATATATGTACATTAACAATAAAAGTAAATTAAGAATCTCGATTTAAGAAAAAAATTCTATAAAAACTTTCACCAATACGTTCCCGAAAAAAAAGTGTAGGAAAAAATAGGAGCAATATATTCCAAAAAAAAAACTAATTAAAACAATAGTATATCTCAAAATAATAGGCAGAATTAGAAAAAAAGTAACCCATTGAAAAAAAAAAAATTTATTCAGTCTAGCTATTTGCTAATTACTTATGACGTCTATTATTGTGGTTGTTGTTCCATTTTATGCTCCAAGTGAATCTACTATATGTTTTGTGTCGTGAAAATAGAGTAAGCATTGTTGTTGGATTTATTAAAAGTTTCAACAAAAAGGATTACAGTAATGACATTAGTATAACTATACAATAATTATTTAATGGCTTTAATATATCTATACAATAACTACAAATCATAATCATATATTGTGTTATCTTTACATATCTTTTTTCACTATGTTTTTTTTTTAACGAAATCCAATATATTCAGGATTTATAACTTACCATATTTTTTGGTGATTTGTATTTTTTACGTGATTTTTTCCACCAACTTTTTGAAAAAAAAATCTATTCACTCGATTGTTTTGATATACCGATATTTTATTTTGGGCACACTTTCTATGCTTCCCCTAGAACATAGAAGTTCTATCACCCCCCTTATCCTGAATGGAGGGCTAAGATTGCCCTAGTCACAATGTCACGTCTCTACACTATTTTATTTTTAATTTTTTTCTATAAACTATTCTATCACCTAATTTTGGACGTCCATTCCTCTATTAAACTTACACTGGCAAAAAATATAAAAACAATATTTTCAATAAAATAAAATGACCAAAATACCCCTAAAAGTTTCAAGGGGTATTTTGGTTATTGTATTTTATAGAAAATTTATTTTTAATATTTCTTATAGGTGCGCCCCAATGTGAAGATGGCATGTACCAAATTTCATATTCATACAATTTGTATAAAAAAACTAAAAATAAAATACTTTGAGACGTCGGATCTAAAATCAAGTGGTGAGTGGCTCTCTTGATCAAAATTGGACACGAGGATAGAACTTCTATGCTGTAAGAGAAGCGTAGAAACTTTTCCCTTTTATTATTCCCCAACTTGCTAACTATGGCCTTACCTAGCTCTTAACATGTAGCTGTGCGCAAATTTTCGTAGATTAACAAAAAATAGTAGACTGTACTTTTGAGTGTACAGTAGTTGTTATATACTCAAGTGGAGAATAGTCGTTCCACTTCAGTGGTTCATCTAAAAACAATGGCAACTAATGATCCAAATGTGTTCTTAATATAATTATTATTTTCTAGTTTTCAAAAAAAAAAAACTTTTCATGATCTCCATGTTAAAAATTATATATTCTCTAAAAATTAGAAACAAATTCTATTTAAAATATGAGTAATGATCCCATGAGACTCTCCCACAGCCATGTGCATAAGACCCCAAATGATCACTATTAAATTTGGTACAGATCTTTAGAAAAGTTATCACATGGATGTAGGATTTACGTTTTTAGATATGTGTGTCAAATTTAATGGTGATCTTTTGAGATCCTACACACATAAGTGTGAGAGCGTGTCATATGATCATTACTATAAAAATATATGTTCATTGTTATGCTTACATTTCTACAATATGCGGTTTGGCCACATATCGACCGTGTCCTTAGTAGAAACGTGAGCTAAAATGTTTTACAAATACCCATTCAGTGCGCATTGATGTACACGGTACGATCATATCTGTGTACCACCGAAACAGACTGAGACGCTCCATCCATGGCTAAAGTTCCCAAGTTGTTCTCCATGTAAATGTGAAGTGAATCTTTAATGAAGAACTGAGGCCATTGACCTCATAAAAAACTGGGATACAATGCCTACGGAGTAGCATGCGATTCACTATTCTATTGAATTACATTTTGCGAGCCACCTTCAAACGGTCAGCTTTCAGGTTAGTATGGGGTTTTTATGAGTTCGGCCAAGTTATATGTACATATGCGCCCCCACTAAAATTTAGTTTAGAAGAATTTTTTTCTATATTTTTAAAATGAACTTTTAAAATTAAAAATATAATTATTTACTACTTCTTAAATTAAAAATAGATGATCACAAATGAACTATTAAAATTAAAAATAGCATATTTTAATATATTTTTATGTACAATCCATATCTTATTAATGGACAATACAATTCAGATAACGTCCATCTACGTTTGTAAGTCAGCAGGCTCTGGCACGTTGGCTGATGAAACAATATTCCTTTAGGTTATGGCAGTGTTTCAAAATCCGGCAATTTCTTAACCAGATCAGACTGCTGATTTGGACGGGGATAGGTCAAGACCAAACCCATTCTAAGATGATATGAGTCTCACAGCCTAGTTCACTTGTAAAACGCTCATACATATATGATTTTTTCCTTTCTTTAAGCTTATTTAAAGTATTCTTAAGTCTCCACTAAATCCAACTCAAACTTCATTTATGTTTGAATTTTTTTTTAATCACAGATTCGGACTGATCCTGACCCAATCCAAATCACCAACCCAACGATCTGACACAGATTTGAAGGACCGCCTATACGGGTTTTAAAAAACCGGGTTACGGATTGGCTATACTGGGCCCTTGAAACGTTGTTGAGCAGGCCTCTAGTGCTTTTCGTCAACTCCCAATTCTCTCTTCATAGCATTATATATTTCCTTTATATGCCTTGATGCCTCCCATAACTATGGCTTAATGTGAATAAACGAATGTATATATGAATAGACCCATATCTCCATTATGAATATCAGTAAGAAGTGAACAAAAAAAGTGCAATGAGATCCAAGGGGAATAAACTTTTAGGGTAATACAAATACTTCAATTCACTTTGATCCAAATCAATATATATCGGTCAGCATACCAGCCATTGAAGACACCATTCCAGGTTGGAGATCCGGACGATATTATCAGCCAATAAAAAAAAAATGAAACAAAAGCTATTTAAAAAAAAAAGGGGACAAAATGACCAAAAAGAGGAACCCAGCAAATCACCCAGATCTTTCTCAACGAAGCAGCCAGTTCTCGAGTGAACCACTTGGTTCAAAACATCATCACGGAACTAAGACGGTCCCCAACTACTCCCAAATCATATCAGACAATTTCAATCCAACCCAGTGAATTTTAAAACACCGCTCAAATAAAAAGCCATTTAAAAACAATTGCCAAGGAAGTTAATTTATATATGTCAAAGTGGTAGCACCGAATACCTCTCCACCGTCAAGCCATAGATTGGAAGGTGATGAAACCAGGACCATCATCTATGTTTAAGATCTGGTTTTGGTAGGCAACCCCTGTTACGTGATCACGTGACTAAGGTGATGACCACATAATTACCTTGGAAAGTAACAATGCTATCATTTGGGTTTGCTACAGTTTCCGAGCATTCCCTCAACCCCAACCGTCAACAGCTCAGATGGGCGGGTGGGTAAATCCATTGTTACGCTTAAAGCATGTCTAATGTTTATAAATGTTGACAGTCATTGAACAAAGGAGCGTCGCTTCCCTCCCAGAAATTGTCACAAATGGTTGACATCTGACGGTTGGGGCGATACTAGGAAATTGTAACCACCAAAATACTAGCAAGTTCTATAAATCCTGCATAATACTCCACGTAGGATTGAATTCAAATTAACAAGAAAAAAGAAAAACTAAGAAAAGCATGGAAATGCTAAGTGAATAATGGATAGACCTCAAAATTATAGCACGAGCCAAAAAACCGCAGACGGGATGCACAAAAAATTAGAATCAGCATCAGAGATTATGTTAATGGATCTGTACTACTTACCTTGGTCCACTATATTTGTTCTCGAACCAATGCAACAACACATTTTCCCCTTCCCCCGACATAACACACAGGGACTCTCTCTCTCTCTCTCTCTCTCTCTCAATATCAACCATTACTGCTCTTCACTGGAAAATTGAGGACCTCCATGATTGCTGTACACCACCCCACCACCTCGACCACCCCTACCTCGTCCATTGTAGTAATTGCGAGGGTAATACGAGTTTCCATGATCATAAAACTGGCTCCCCCTTCCGTTTTGATATTGGTAACCATTAGCGCCTCTTCCAACTCTCCCACCACCTCGCACATTCCCATGGTAACCCCCCCTTCTTCCACCACCACGTCCCATTACTCTCTGGTTGGGATTTGGGTACCCTCTTTTCTGAACATATTGGTGATGCTCCTTTAGTTCAGGTTCAGCTTCCCTGTGTTGGTCTTCCTCTGTATCGAGTTCTTGAGGGGGTGGAGGAAGTGAGTTTGAAGCCCCATCTTCCGATGGATCATAGGCCTCCTCCTCATGGTTGTCCTGAAGTTCATCAAACAAATTGATTCCTTTATTGTGTTATAGAAAACAGAGGAAAAAGTGAGAATGGCTAGTACTGAGGGAATCTATGTTCACACCTGGCTATGCTCTTGCGGTGGATCGGTTGTGTTGCTGTGAATTGCGTGATTTTCCTGTCCTTCAGCCTGTTGATCAAAAGATGATGCAAACGATTTGTGTTCAAGATGGTCAAGAAAAAATCAATTGAAAATGATCTCGAATTGACTAATAAAAATAGATACAATAATGTCATTAAAAAAAAAATGTATCAGAACCCACAGAAACTTTGTTAACTGTTAAATGTGCAAAAAGGTTGTAGATATCAATTTTTTCTCAATCGTCCCACCATAAAATAAACTTTTTTAAGTTCATTTCAGGGTAAATGCATGACTGTTCCCACACGATACTCTTCCATGTGAGAGAGAAAGAGAGAGATGGTACTCTAACATGCATGAGGAAGGGAGGTGTCACATCTGTTTCTGTCTCCTGCAAAATCCACATCAATTTCTCTTGTAACCCTACCAACTCAAGTCCTTTTCTTACATCCACTCTCTAGATCTCCTGCAAAACCGACATCAGGTCCTCTTCTAACAATGCCAATTCCTTCCCCATCAGCACACACAAAGGTTAGAAAAGTCAACTGGAAGAAAGATATAAGGCGCGAGCCAAGAGACTAAAGACTACATATGCTCAAATCTCCATCCTTTGCTTTCAAAGTAAACAGATATAAGAAATCCAAGGAGTAAAAGGGTAGAAAACCACTTTCACTACATTCCTTGAGAATAACCTTGAATTACATGGAAGTTACGCTCATATGCTCAAATCTCCATCCTTTGCTTTCAAAGTAAACAAATATAAGAAATCCAAGGAGTAAATGCGTAGAAATCCACTTTCACAACATTCCTTGAGAACAACCTTGAATTACATGGAAGTTGCGCTCGTAAGATTAGCCATCCTATTTGCTCACCACCAGATTAGTTAGGTGCATGGATATACAGACAAAGGTCAACTACATTTACTAAATTCAAAAGGATTACTTGCCTGTGCACATTTACCCAGTCAAAGAGGTAAGAAACAGGTGAGACGGCTCTACAAAAACCAGATCTATAAGGTTAACCATGCAATATATAGCAACATAGACTCACTCAGCCAAATGACCATCTAAACGACTTTCAAAGACCCAGTAACCACTACCGGCATATCATGCACTACTGAGAATATCCTGTCCAACATATGAGCGATTAACAACATAGCAAACTGTTTGCAGCTTCGGATAATAGGTTGGGACAACATTAACTTTTTTAATTGCAATGTCAACAATTCAAAAAAAAAAAAACTTTTTTAATTGTGAAGATTAGATGAATCTTGAAACTAAATTTTAAACATACAATGGCCCACACTTGCTGCTCCTATGACAAAAAACCAGTATAAGGGACCCCACATGCACAAAAAAGCAGCCCCGGGGATCCACATAGAAAATCTAAATGATGGCCCCAGAATGGTCCATAAATGCCTTAAGAGAACTCCAAAAAAGTACTCTCAGATATCAAGGCAGAGAAATCATAAAAATACATTTCACCTCTTTATTTTTTTGAGAAATGTTAACTTTATATAAATATAATAGATTTACAAAAATATCCAAAAATGGCAACCCACAATATAGGTGCTCCGTATATATCAAAAAAAGCAGCCCACAAGTTGGCTGCTCCATATACATCCATCAAAAAAGACAAGGGGAAGAGGAGAAAAGTGTGGGCAAAGAGTGATACAAGAGAGAGAGAGAGAGAGAGGAAAGAGAATGAAAAGAACAGAGAATACCCCCCAAATACTTTACAAATATAACAGAAAAAAAAAAATACAGGGCCATATTCATCCTGAGCATCTCGGCACCAAAAATACAATTCACCTCTATTAGAATCACCAAAGATGAGATCAGCACATATGAGGATGAGGTGATACAGAAATCTAGATATTGGATTTAAAAGAGAGAGAGAGAGAGAGAGAGAGAGAGAGAAGAGAAGAGAGAGTGAGGGAAGGAGAGAGGAAAAGTCGGACTCTATTTGAACTGAAACAAAAGGACGTACGTCAAATTTGTTTGGTGAAAGCCCACAACCAAGTAATATAATGTGCACTTGGAAGCAAAGTGCAAACTAACCTTAAATTCTTTAAGTAGGATCTACACCTTGAGTTCTTTACGTAGGATTTGACAGTGTTGTTAAGACCAGACCAGAGTTCAAATTTGAAAGGGTAAAACATCTATCGGACCAGACAAACTGGATAGGTTCACCAGTCAGACTGGCCAAAGAAATGGGAAAGGTTTATATAGTTCCCCTACAGCATAGAAGATCTATGCATCCCCTACCATCCAGCCATCCAATTTTGATATAAGTGAGCCACTCACCGTTCTATCTAGATCCGATGCCTCAAGAGTATTTATTTTTAGTTTTTTATATACACTTATACAGATCGCATGAATGTGAATTTTGGTACATGCGATCTTCTCATTCGGGTGCACCTAAAAAAAATATTTAAAAGAATTTCCAATAAAATAAGACCAAAATGCCCCTTGAAACTTTTAGGGGATTTTGGTCATTTTATTTTAGAGTTTATTTTTTATATTTTTTATAAGTGCAAGTTTAAGAGAGAATTGGATGCTAAAAATTTGGTGCCAAAATATTTTGTAGAAAAAATATTAAAAATAAAATCGTGTAGAGACGTGACATTGTGATTGGGGACATCTTAACCATCCATTCAGAATGGAGGGTTGGTTAAGGGGAAATATATGAGTTTATGTTGTAGGGGAAGCATAGAAAGCTTTCCCTAAAATTAGTGTAAAAAAAAGAATAAATACAAAAGGTTCAACAAATGTAACCATTTCTCAAAAAAAAGAGTATACAGAAATCACCTGAAAAATTTTGAAAAATTGGATAATTGTCAAAAATAATTATGAAAAAAAAATTTATTAAAGAAAAAACAACCTATCGCATTGATTGAAGAAGAAGAAAAAAAAAAACATCATTGGCAAAAACCTTGTAAATCCAAAACTTTTGGCTTTCTTTAGACATAAAACAAATAAATAAAAAAATGATGTTAACTAACTTGGGACTTGAAATACAGCGACATGACGGCTGGATTCACTTCTAAATAGATTTCCACTAAAGATTTGGGGTTTTGGAATGCCATAGTAGCTCTCTTTCTAAACATGCACTTTTTAAACCCCCCAAACCCTGCCAAATATAAATGAACAACAAAACCCGCCTAAACTATTTCTAGTGGATAGAAACCCAAAAATGATATTTGATTCAAAAATTGAAAAACCGACGTGATTTTCCCATCTTTTTCACTTCATATCCGGACCGGCCATTTCGACCTGCATCTATCGAACCGGTCCATCCAGTCATCGAACTTGCCAGTCCACTACTACGCCAATTTGATGGACATTCTGGTCAGGGGGTTTCAACTCGAATTGCTAGCATCTGGTTGCCACCTCTCACCTCAGCCACCCATCTCAAATTGATAAATGGAACTTCAAATCAATCAAGCAACAAGTCATTGCAACAAAACTAGAAGCCACACTGGGCTTAATTAAAGCTTTGAAATAGCCCTAACAGAACCCCTCTGAGCTGCAAACAGACCAAAATGAGCCTTCTCCAAAGATTTTGGCACAGGTAGAGCAGTGAAAGGTTGGCATGCAAGTGTGAAAAAAGTACTCTTCATTTTTCATTTACAACACAATGGTTGAAGTATGCCACCTCCTCTTTCATTTGGTCACAAACAACGGGGTTGTCCACGACATAAAAAGGCTAATAAGGAGTTTGGTGGTTGCCTTATGCTCAAATTGGACACATCTCATTCCGCAATAAGGTCAGCCCCCTGGAAATTAATATCCTTCGTGATCATAGAGGGACTTGGAAGGAAAATAATTATCTAGATTTTTAGAAGGGAAAATGCACTCATCAAATGTTTTGACGATGGGTATTAGCTGAACGATTAACAGTTAACATCTAGCTTCCCAGGATTTAAGGGGTTTTAGTTGATCGACCTCATATGTCCATGGAGCCATGTTGCCTCTTTTGATTCCCTTACCTAGACCTGGTAGTTGTTTGGGAGAGACCAGAGCATGGAATCTTCAAGCTTAGTTCTGATGGCTGTTCTCAGGTAAACTAGGACCAGCAAGGATTGATGGATTATTATAAAAACTTCTCAGGTGAACTAGATGTTAATTTCGGGTCCCTTAGGAGCTTCTGACCCAGTAAAAGCAGAAGCTAAACCATTGCTCGAGGACTCTAGAGTAGCCATAATTCAATCCTGGTTCCCTTGGTTGATAGAATGAACTGCTTAAACATGATTCGTAAAAGAGATATTTGAAGTTCCTGGATTTATTGTGTTTTAGAGGAAGTATGCAAACTGTATGAAAGGCAGTAGAAGCGATTTCTCAACGTTACTTAAATGCAAACGAGGTGGTTGATGTTCTATCTAGAGGAGTAGACAGTTTAGGTCTTTCTGTTAAGTTTGATGCCTTAAAGATGCCACCTTCACATTGCTTTCATTTTCAAATGTACTTGCACAGCTTTAATACCGTACTCCATCAATAGAATATAATTGTTGACTTGCATCAAGATACAAGCCTTCACTGTAACGATACGAGTGAATATTTCCTTCACCAGGTGCTACCATATGTTCCGTAAAGATCAAGCACCATCAAATGAAGAGATCCGAAATGGATGTTAAAACCCCTATATTCCAAAATAAAACTCATTGAGAACCACATTAAGATCAATCCACGTTCTTCATCTTTACAGTAGACAGAAACAAGTAGGCTCTTAAAGCATATGAGACTCTCATCAGCATACATGGATCTACATAACATCCAGTCATGCCACCATTCACATTTCACTCTAGCAATCCAACCCAGCAGGCCTTCTTTCAGCTAATTGGACACCAACCTGCATTCCACAACACTATTTCCTCCCAACTTACAACCAGCAACCTTAATAATCCACAGAAATCCACCCACAATCATTAAACCACAACCTCCACCCACACAAAACCCAAATTGCATACGTGATCAACATGGGCTGCAGGCCTAAGACAGCTCCTAGGTTGGCTCCATTGTTTGCAAAATCGCCCGATCTAACCACTAACCGCCCGGTTAGATCAGAACCGGCCAGTGGCTCGTTCCTGTTTTGGGCAGTTAGGTCGATCAACAGGAATTTTAAAAATAAAAATTCAAAAAAAATGTATATAAATTCCCAAAAATAAGGAATTTGATTTGTAATGCATTTTAAAATATTTTTTACATTATTGTAAAGATTAAAATTTGTTTTGGTCATTAATACTCGCTTATATATATTCCCATCTTTTTTAGAAAGTTTCAAAAATAGTAATTGGAAAATATAAAATGGGTTAAAATCCATTTTTTATAATTAATTTTCAACTTCATTTGAATGTGTTTTGTTTTAATCATTCTTTATATGTTTTTCATATTTTAGTAAATTTTTTTTGTATTTTTTTATTTTTTTTAACACTTTTTTGACCACCCGGGACTTGCCCGGTTAGAGCGGTTGAATCAAGCGGTTTACAAGCAGGTTAAACCGCTTCTAGGCCCATGTCCGGTTAACCGTTCCAGTTCGATTTTGCGAACACTGGTTAGCTCAATACAGACGTATCCTCCCAGACTCGCAAGGAATCATAGGGATACACTCTACTCCTCGAGGTAAAGTCCACCATCCTATGCACCAAAGCACCTCCATTTTCAATCTCGAGGTACCAAAACCCAACACGAATGCCCAAAGCACCTCCATTTTCAATCTCAAGGCACCAAAACCCAACCACGAATGCAAATGCACAACCTGAATGCAAATAGATCCTTCCACCTCAAAGCAGTGTTACAAGGACAAGGGTGGAGACGCTGATTCAGATGTGGCCCAACCAGTTATACAGTCAAAGGCATTCATTCCACTCATACAAAAAACACACAATAAAAAAAATTAAAGAAGAAAACATTTCAAACCAGAGAACAACCGATCCAAAAAGCATGTTAAACTGATACAACAAGCATGTCAGACGACTTCAGTAAAAACTGGCCCATTGCACCAACATTTTACATCATCCTACAGGTTCTGCTTTTCCTTTTCCAGACTTCATTTTTCTCGCTTATTTTTGGCTGTTTCAACCTCCACACTACTGCAGACAATTGAAAAATCCAAAGAACCTTATCTCTAGAGAGAGAGTTATTAGTTGATTCCACCATTAACATTGAGGAAGAAAATAGAAAGAAGATTACTAGAAGTTCTTTAAGTTAAATTTTCTAATCCTTTTTTTATAAACAAAATTCTGAACCTTAGTTGCACTAACTCCAGCCTAGGGCATAGATCCAGGCTGCAAGAGATGCCTACCAACACTGCCCTTGTTCTATAGACCCATGATCCCATAGTTTGGGAGCTGAACGAAGAGAAAACCATAGCTCCTCAAAACAGAAAGTGAGTTCTGGCTTTAAGAACACACCCCCTTGGCAATCAGGGAACATGTATCACCATTAAATAAATTGAACCCACTCAACCAAGTAGTGTGGCCGCCACAGTAACCTCTTGGGCTGGTTCCACACCTCTATAACTATAATGAAGATTATCACCAGCAATTCTCAGGTCCTCAAAGATTCAATCATGATGGAAATTTACAATATTTGAGGCAAATGAAGGGCAACATAACAAATCAACACAATATGCTATACCTGCAAATTGACACAATATACCCTATTTGCAACTAATTCGAGTTGTATATGTTTATCTCATAATGCATTGTGCAATTTCTATATGGGTCATTTATTAGTTATGTCTAGATGCACACACTACATTTTTCCGTAGGCCGATTACCAGTCATCCCCACAATGGAACCTACCAATAACTTGTGTTTCTGCTCTCTATCCATGCAACTTAATTCTAATCTAGGAATAGAAGCTTTAAAATTGGAGAGCTATGGGTCAGAGAACAATGGCCCTTTTCTAACTTCCAAATTGTAATCAATAGAACCAATAGACAGTACTCTCTTTTGTGTTGTCATATTCATCATCATCAGATCAGAGCCTATTCCCAACTATTTGGGGTCGGCTACATGAATCTTGGTCCACCATTCTGCTCTATTAAGGTGGCCAACCCACCTAAATCTATTTTTCCTCATTTTATTGCCTATTAGAGCCACACCTAAGTGGCTGCAAGACTTACTTGAAATTCCCTTTTTTTTTCTTTTGGTTTACGCAAGGACCTGACGATCCAAGATTATGCATATGTTCATTAATGCTTCAAACTTAGATCTAGGCGATAGCCATGGAACTTTCATAAATCAGATCCTAGAAATTTCTATATTATAGGCTATTTTAGTATCAAATATTTTCCGCATGCCTTACAACTTTTGGTTTTTTATGCCTTTTCTGCATTACATTTGGTTGGAACACGTATCACACTGAGATGGACTGAAGTCCAAAGGATCCAATGGCATCATATAAAAATGCTTGCTGAAGGCATTACAACTCTAAACCTCAGAACAACATGAAGATAAGACCTCATGCTCATAGGTATCCCCAAAGAAATAAAATGAACTATAAAAACACATGACGATAAAACTTCGTCTCATAATGGCTAAGAAACCATGATACGAAAACTGATACAATGAGCAGGAATATGATTCAGCATTTTCCTAAACACAACAAGACACAACCATATATAGATGAGTTGGGCAAGGATTCCGGTCTCCCACTGAGAGGAGTAGGAACGAGGGGTCAGAGATCCTTGCTTCATAAGAAAACCGGAATGTAAAGATAGAGGAGGTAGGTTGTTTGTTGGAGAGCCTAGAGAACCAACTAATCATAAAGATCCTGCAAACAACTTTGGAGGTAGAATACTGCTGTTCACGTTTCAATTAATTCTTCCTTACTCGACTGGAGAAAAAGGGGTTAGTGATCCTATATATGCATGTTTTAAAAATGCCCTGATTCAACATTTGGTCTTCTTCATTGATCAATCAGAAAGATTCAAAGCATAGATCACCTCTACAGGGCAGAGAGAGGGGCAGGGAAGGGGGGCAGACCCTAAATATCTGTTTCCTATTTTGAAAAGAGTGAATCTATTAACCATCACCTAAACATTGAAATAAACAAAGAAGACATACATTTTTGGTTCAGAGAGATCTATCATATCTTCCTGAAAGGGTCTGAGGCCTTTGGCATCATGGATGAACCACCTCACAAAGTAAGATCTATGATTCCATCCAAAATATGTTTGAGCTATACTTGGTCGACAAACCATCTTACAGTTTTAGTTGTTTGGGTCTATAAAAGAGAAGAGTTGAATGTGTCACTTTCAGCAGCATACCTGTTCAGAGCTAATTCACTACAGTGCAAAAAGCAACAAAGATGACCACCAAGAAAGGAAAAGATTAAAAACCTTCCTGTTTCAGCATTTGAGCCAGAAATCTTCAAACATTCAAAATCAACATTGACACAACAAAAAATGCTTCGATCACACAGACCCAAGAAGATTTACCTTCTGTTGGTGATGGGTTGGGGCACTTTCTGTCTCAAAAGCATGATCTTGCATGCCAGAGTCTTGTACTATAACTTGTGGAACATAATTCCCAGAAGCTGCAGCAGCAGCTGCCTCGACTGCTGATTGCTGACTTAGAGCTTTCATCTCAGGGGTAGTGGTGAAATACTCTGAAGACAATATCTTATTCAATCTTTCTCGCAACCCAGCATCTGAGAAGCAGGTTAAGGAAAGTAAATGGAGAAGCATACCCATCAGACTTGAAATTCTGAATAAAGTAAATAGAATAAACAGGAATGCAAGGCCATACATAACAGCCAAGAAATAGTCTCAAACATCAGACAAATTTCCTAAATGATGTAAGCCAATGGTTGTGCTTTTAGTGTTTCAATATAATTAAAAAAAGTGGAACAGTAGAAAGAACTGAGAGAAAAGGAGAAGTACAAAACAAAAAAACTTCCTTTGATAGTTGACTTGGGTGACCTTTTCATCATCAAAACTAACTGAGCAATTGCTTCTCTTATTTCCCAATAGAACAATTTCGAGAGTCAAAATCAAGATTTTGGCAAAACAGCTTGAGTGGGGCAAGAGGACTCATATGTCATAAAAGGTCAGTGACTTCATCACTTTTATAACCAACAACTGGAAACGTCTACAATATCGAGCAAATAGAAAGCAATTGTGAATTGAGAATTCAAATGTACAAGTAAATGTATCTTCAAGTAAATATGCATATTAAGATGAATCTAATGAAAACTGTGGATAAGCCAATTCACCCAAATTCCACCCGCATGTTAAACTCATGGATATCATTCCACAACAAACAATCCCATTAACAGAATGCCAACAATATCTTGAAAAATGAAAATAATAACTCTTAATATCATAATCCATTTCGAAATAAGACTCTACAATTATAAATTACTTTCATAACAGGTATGTACATGCATGCAATAAAGAAATTCCTCTAACTAAGGCCAAAAAAAATGCAAGCCCAACTTCATCATCCAACAGTTCTTGAAATTAAAATATAGACAGCATCTCACTGAGAACAAGAAAAATAATAACAACAACAACAACTATAACAGCAATAAACAATAATAGTAACAATTGAAAACAAAATATTGAGAAAACAAGAAAAATAGCAGAAACCAGAACAATTCTATCAATTACCGAAATAACCTAATGCCGGTTTGTGAAATAGAGAGATTGTATGGAAAACCTTATTTTGACAAAGGAAAAAATCTACAAGATCCATGCAATGAAATAAAAAAATCCAACAATTTAAAAAAGCTAATGCAAGAATAGGAGCTGAGGATACAAGTTACTCCAACATCAGAGTAAAGAGGCTCATCAGATTTATGCAACCATAGCTTTGCACGGTCCACACAAATTCTCAGAGCCTCCTTGTGAGATAAGGTCGAATTCGGGGGCCGCGCAGTCATCAAACTCCCACACACAGAGAGAAAATCCAAGTCTCTCTCTACTAACAAATCAGTAGCATCATCAGTGACATAATCATAAGTCAAACAAGAGCTCCTTTCATGAACCCTAGTAAGCATAATAGAAGTAAACTCATTCTGAGACTTGACATCAAACAAGCTCCCAAAATAAAGTAGCTTCAGCAAATCCTCGATAACCTCATCGAGGTCATGGTTTAAACCCTTCTTATGATATCCCTTCTCCTTTTTATCAGAGGTTCCATTATCTTGAGGAAGAGGAGGAGGGGGTGAGGGAGTTGGCGGTTGAAGAGAGGAAAGCTCCTCTTTTAGGGCATTGGAGAGAGGAACTCGAAGTTTCTCGTATTCTTCAATCAGAGCTAAAACACCAGGCTTTGACCGAAGAACTTCTTCTTGCTCTTTGATGATGCTTTTTCCCTGAGATCTGCTCTCCTCGATCTGGAGGATTCGGTTGTATTTCTTCTTTAGGGCACGAAGCCTCTTGCTCATCATGCTAAGAACTGGGCCATCTTTGCAAGTCTCTATCGATGTAGCAGTTGCTGCTGCCTCTGAAACCGCCATAGCTGAACAAAAACCCTAATCTTCTCTCACTATATGCGGGTTGATGAGACAAAGAGAAGCCAGAAAGAGTGATGGGAGATTCCAAAACCCTAACTCTGCAACTTCACCGCCCCTTAAATCCTAGTGATGGAGACAAAACCTGAAAGATAGAGTTCTAGAAAATCTCCTCTTGTCACTGTTTTTGTACGTTTACGAAACCCGGAAACGAGCGGGAAGATTAGGGCTGAGAAAACCCCAATCTTCTTCCCTCTGAATACGAGACCTAGGGTTATGGCGCACTATTTACGGGGAAAGGTGATAAAAGGGGTGTTATATAGCCATGGATGTATGAGAAAGAGAGTGTAGTGTTGTAGAGAAGATGAAAGGGCGACTTGGGCTCATCAATTTTCCCTCTCCCAAAAACGGCGTTTATCAGGGGAGAAAATCTCACCTCTCCTTACTATATACAAATCCTACGGGCTGGCCACGGTTGTATAACAATACAGTGCAATAATCTTCAAAATTCATGATAGGGACGTATGTTTGAACCAAGTTTTGAAATGTACGTTCTTTTTATTTTAATGAACGAATTATAAAAAATAAAATTTGAAAAGATAATTTGAAAATATAATTTTTTAGTTCAATTAACATAGACAGTTTATATTGATAAAATGCTTAGATCTAGGTCTTAAAAAAAAAAAAAATTTCTATTTCTTTTATATGGCTTTATCAGCATTTCATGAGCAATATTCAAAAATATAAAAATTATTTTGAGTTTGTAAAGGCTAATATATTGAAATTCACAAAATGAATTGTCTAGATTAGTTGTGGAATGAGACTAAATTTGACCCTATCTAGAGTTGAAATTTAACTTTTTATTTTATTGGGATCCATTATTAAGATGCGGCGAGTGTGTATACAAAATTTTGGGTCACACAAGTACCACAAACATAGTTTTTTAAAAGTATGGTTGCATTATACTGTGATCCAACCGTTACAATAGATCACTGCCCCAAAATGCTACACGATACTTCCCAAAGAATAATAAAAAGGCGCAGTTTTTATGGAGCCAAGGCTCTAAGCAATCAAAGTTGAGCGCACCCTCAAATAATGTTGATAAATGTGATTTCAATAATTAATTTTTTTGTGATAGCCTTAAAATATATTTTCATCTCTCATTATAAAATTTAAAGCTTAAAAGATAACGTATACCGTGGAGATCTATGAAAACTTTAAAATCTTGAAAATTGAGGGTCTAAAATTGCATCACAAGATGCACTGTTTCCTAGCTTGAAATCTATTTTTTTCTCATATTCATGAATCTTCATGTCAAGATGGTCAATTTCATAATATTTGAGCATCAAATTTACCTTTTCTAGTTAAATTTTCGAGGTAGGCTCTAATTTGAGTGTTTAGAGCCTCGACTTTATATAAATTTATGCTAATTAAAAAGGTGTGGTTTGTATAGAGTCGATGCTCTAAACAATTAAAATATAGTGTACCTTCAAATAGTGTCAAGAGATGTGGTTTCAATACTGGAAATATTTGTGATAGCTTTAAAATATATTTTTATTTTTAATTATAAAATCGAAAAGCTTAAAAAATAGCGTAGATCTAATAAATATATGAAAACTTTAAAATCTTAAAAATTGATGGTCCAAAAATACATTACAAGATGCACTATTTTCACTTAAAATTCTTCTTTTTTTTTCTCATGTCCATGCATCTCGATGTGAGATCATCAATTTTAAGATATTTGCGCATCAATCACTTATAGTGAAATTTTTGAGGTGCGCTTTAATTTGATTGTTTAGAGCCTCGTCCCTATATGATTTTTTTTTCGTAATAAAAGGATAAAATTTCTACAAGGCCTAGGCTTTATGAAAACAAAATAAAGCCTCATCTCAAATCCTCAACCAAAAAGTACTCTTGACAACATAAATCTCTATGATGGCTCTAAAATCAATTTTCAACATCGATAAATAAATTTCGAAACTAAAAAATTGGCACAAAGCTTGTGGAACTGAAAACACTTATTTTTAGGGTGAAATGGATGGTCAATATAATTTGCTACAATATAAAATATTTTTAGAGCTTGAAATCTTTTTGTTTTTTTCACAACCATGATATTCAAGCCGAAATGATCAATGTAAAGGCTTTCCAATGATTGAATTGTAATTTTGGATAAGTTATGAGGTAAGGCTTTATGTATTTTGATAGGGCTGCAGCCCTATCAAACCATTTTTTTTAAGAGGATAAACTCTATTAGCAGATTTAAGTAAAGTTTAAATAAAGTTACAACCTTAAAACGTAGAATGAAAGATGCACCTAAAAAATCCATCATAAACGATTGTTCGGATGTTGGAAAACTCTCTAATTGATCATCTTGACATTGAGATGTATGATTATGAAAAGCAAAAAAGATTTCAAGTCCGCAAAATGGTATATCTTGCAACACATTATCGGGACCGTTTATTTTTAAATTTTTATGTGTTTATAGATCTATTTGATTTAAACCATTTTTAGAGTTTAAATTTTTTAAATGAGAGATGAAAATAGATTGTCAAGTCATCCTAAAAAAAACTTTGATATCAAAATTATATTTATGATAAAATTTAGATGTGCACCTTAATTGGATTGTTTAAAGTTGCAACCTTATGCAAATCCTAACCCAATAAGCTCCCAATTTTATTTTTATTTATTTTATACTATTTTTATACCACCAATTCAGTTAACGCAATCTGGCGGCCGATCTGACAATTGGACGCAGATTTATTTGTGAACGATACGTGCCACCGATTAAGTTTTTTTGTTTTGCGTAAATTCCATCAAGGTTTTAAAGCACCATAATTTCTACAAAGGTAGTATTTTGGCATTTTGGAAAAGTTAAGGGCTAGCTTGTGATTGGAGCAAAAGATAGTATCTTTTCAGTCATTCCCTTCAAAAGCAATTCCGACGCGTGTCTCGATATCCATGTCAGCTGAGTCGAGAGGATGCCTAATTTGTGCTTGTTTACGAATAAGTTTTCATTTTCGACACGATTTTTCTTAAAATCTCTAAATCTTTAAAAAATAAACATTTTCAATTCCGCAATATCTCTTCCAATATCTGAGTTCTAAATTTTTATTGTTGGGTTTAGAAATTGATTTTAGAGCCATCGCATAACTTTTTACTATCGAAAGTAGTTTCCGGCTAAATATTTGAGAAGAGATTTTATTTTGTTTCTACAAGACATGAGCCTCAAATAAGTCAAATTGAATAACTTAGAATCAACAATAAAATCCAATAATTTTTTTAAAATTTTTATATCTTTTTAATAATAGAAATGATTATATAGGACATTCTTCCATTTATGTGCGCAGGACCCCAAATGATCACTATTAAATTTGACACGAATCTATATAATATAGAAAAATCAAGTTCCACACTCATGTGATAAATTTTCTAGATATCCATACCAATTTTAACGGTGATCTTTTAAGATCCTGTACACATAGGTGGGGGAGGGTCCTATAAGATCATTACTCTTTTAATAATACTCTTACAACCACCTATTTTAAAATTTAAAAGATAATAAATGATTTGTAATCTTTATGTATAAAAGATAAAAATAATCTATTTCTAGACAATCCCAAACATAAATAAGTTTAAATAATAATAAAAATTATATCTAACAGGCGTTTTAGAGTAGGAATAGGCCAAGACCCATGCCATCTAAAAACCAATTGGGTCCTAATTAATTCATTCATCAATTTGAATTAAAAACTGCCAGATTTTAAAACAAGGGCAGATGCTAGGTGGTCCAAGGGCTATATTGAGTTCGACATCTACCAAGGGCAGATAGCCCTTTCCAATTGAAGTACCGAAAGATCATTTCATCGCCATCCATTATCGAAATTCATAGTGTCGGCCGAATCAAGGGTTCTTTTTTCGTAATCCTACAACACTGATTTCTTACAGAGGGTATTCTTTCCATGAAAAGAAGTAAACACTAATGTTCCGAGTGGAAGCATTAAAAAAACATAATAATAATAAATAAATAAATAAATAAACAAAAAAAAAGAAAAAGAGGAAAGAGAGAGAGAGCAGTGAGAACTGGAGTCTTTTACTTAAACCAATCACCCAGCAGTTCAAAATCGGCTCGACCAATCTTCAGCCAGCTCATTTATTTTTAGAACACTAAAAAGGTTATCCCCGTAAAAAAACTGTATATTAAACTATTATTAATAATAACCATCATCATTATAATTTTTTTTGAATTAATTTGAACCGTTTTCAATTAATTCGAATCGGCTATACAAATCCTGATCCACATTCTATTGAGCTTACCTTTTACCCTTTTAAATCCACATATTTTTTCATATTAATTCCAACAACATCCCTTTAGACCGACCTTTTACCTTTTTAAATCCCAATATTTTTCCACACTCCTTTCAACAACATCTTTTTGAACCTACCTTTTACCCTTACAATACGAAAGGATGTCCCTACCCCTTGCCCTTCCATTTAAACTAAACCGCACCTGATAATTCGTAGTCCCCATATTCCATGGTCAAATGTAAGTAAGCCTATATGAAACAACTAATAATGTGCTTTGCAAATGAAATGCCACTTGTAGTCTCCATCTTCCATTGTCAAATGAAAGACGGTTAAGATGAATTGGCCCCTTACTTCCGCGAACAGCAATTGAGAAACATCTCACCTCCAACGTTCTTCACTCCAAAGAAACCACCGTGGAGGGTATAGATGTAGCATGTGTTTGTAGAGTGGTTTAGAGTAGGCTTTACATTGAATATAAACGCATGGGACTACACTGTACACTTATGCTAAAGGAACTTCCCCACACAATTATAGACATGAGAATCCTCCTACTCATATTATTCTCCAACTGCTCACACGAGTTGTTGTAGTCCTGTTTATGAAATATTACCCAACCTCTTTTCAGAAAAACCAAAAAAAAAATCCAACTAATCATGAGTCTACAAGCAAATATCAATATAAGAAGATCCACAATATAAACAGGAACAAGGCCCTTTGTTGATGACCACCTTATTTTAGCCATTTGGGGTAAATATTACAGAATCAAAGTTACTGGAAACAAGGTCCACATCATAAATAGTTTAGGACCATTACAGAATCAAAGTTACTAGAAACAAGATCCACAATATAGATATAGTTTAGGACCATATTTTTGGCAGTTGGGATTAATACATGAGAGAGAGAGAGAGAGAGAGAGAGAGAACGGGGGATCCCCAACTCAACACAGTTGTGAAACTTGATTCACTTCTCTCAAACATAAAAGCCAGCATCCTTGAAGATATATTTTAGATACAGAACCTAGCAATCACCGCCCATTTACAGCATCTCCAAAAACCCAAATCCCACAATTCTAACTTCAAGGGTCCTGCAAATCGAAACTCTTCAGATCTCCCCATCCTTTCAACTTGGGATAAAAAAGAAAAAAAAAAAAAGGTTCAACCTTGAAGCACCATAGAGATATCGTACCAAATCTAATTACGAGGAAACGCCACCAATTAGCCACCAAGAAGCCTTCTCAAGCCTGATTTCTGTTCAGCAGTTAGCCTGGAAGGAAACTTGACATCGAACCTGATCCTCAAATTTCCCTTCTGTCCAGGTTCCTTGGCAATAGGCATGCCTTCTTTGGGTATCACCATTTCATAACCAGGGCTTATGATATCTGTTATGGGTACGTTTAAATTCCTTCCGTCTAGAGTAGTCAGGTTAACAGTTGTTCCAGTTAGGGCTTCAACTAATGATATCTTTTGGTTAACCACGAGATCGTTTCCATCTCTTTTGAACACTTCATGGGGCTTCTCGTCAATCACAAAGACAACGTCAGCAGGGACCACGTTGGGCTGCTTGTGACCCTTCTCGGGGAAAATGATCTTTGTCCCTTTCTTCCATCCAGGCTTCACATCGATGGGCAGGATTTCCTCTACAGGAATCACTCTGATGAGAAGCAGAACAACAGCAGAAAAATCAGGATAGATGATGACATCCATATAGATGCTGTATTTACTAGAAAAGAAGTGCAAGTAATAGGGCTTCTAATTTATTGTAGACCATGCAAAAAAGATCAGATAAATCAAACACATTTTTACCACTTCAAAATTCAAGATAAAACATAATTTCAACCTCGCACCAGAATCAGATGAAGCACCGTAGATAACTAGGGAAATATATTACGAGCAAAATTATGTTAGTTAATATAGAGCACAGGCCAGAGACCTATTTCTACTAATAATACATACAAACGAATGAGCTGTAAGCAACATCGCAGCAAACTTTATGAAGCAACTATGCAGCAAGGATGATCTTTGCAAAACAATGACAGTCCAAACCTCCCACTATCATGGAAACTTGAGGACTTTATGGCACTACACAAATGCTGGATCTGGCGAGGCCTTTTTGTTCCTCAAAGGCTCAACTATGCAAAATATGGCCTGCATGTGAATTTGAGCATGATGTCCTTAATGTGTAAACAAAGAGGTGTATGACGAAAAACGCAGGTTTTTGGCTTTGTGCATAAATATATATAGATATCTAGACAAGAGACCGTTCAGTTACCTGGAGTTCTTTGGTGAATCCTTCTAAAGAGTGTTACTTTTCAGGTGAATCAAATGATATTCAAAGTGCGGTTCTTAAAAAGGGGATGTTGATTGCCTCTCAGAAAAAGTGAGGAGGAGGAAGAGGGGGAGGTTATTTGCGGTCTGTTGAATTTACATGAGGTTTCAGAAGCTTGTGGTTTGGTAATGGCAATGGGCATTACTCCTTAACATCATTTATCTAGTAAATGACAAGTAACACCTTAGCCTAAAAATTTACAAAATGGAGACCTGTCAAATGCTGCTTTACTCAATCCATACTCATTCAATGGCATTCGCAACTTACCAGAAAGAAAACATTTCCGCCAATAGATATGCTGATCTCATTTTTTTTAGTTCAGTGACGAAGATTGATGAATTGATAGCATGACCTAGATGAATAGATAATTTATTCATGAACACGATAGAAAATTGGATTTGGTAAAATCATGAACTAGGAAATTCTCTACATTTTCCCAACCTAGGTATAACTTATTTCAGGAAATTTATGGGAAATTATCATATTAAAGGTCTATAACAAATTTAATAAACTAAGAGTCTACAGGTATGGATGAACATAGATGTCCATTTTGCATGATTGGGAAAGGGATGTCGCACCAACATATGCATTCTTCAGGCTAGTAAAATTGACAAAGCAAAATAGAAGCTATGATTCCCCAACTCTTGCGTGTCTTGCAAGGAAATATAGAAGACGGTGGACAGTCTCCTATCAGACTTACATTTACCTACTTTAGCATGAGTTGACTCCAGTTTGTTGCTAAATACATTAAATATGGACATCATCGGCTCGAAGAGAAGGGATACTGGGTACAATGTTTAAACAAGTACTGTACATAGAGATAGAGTACCTCACAAGAATCTCTCACATCATTATCATCATCATCATCATCATCCAAGCATTATCCCAACCATTTGGGGTCAACTACACACATCTTGTTCTGCAATTCCACTCTATCAATGGCCACAAAGTTCCTAATAATGTTTGATTACAGGAGACAGCTGACTGAATGTCATCAGGTGGGCCACAAAAGATGGTGTGTCTTCAGAGACCAGCCAAATACCATGGTAGAGTCATTCAACGAAGAGGCACGACTACCTCCCTAGGCTCAACACACCAAGTTGCAAGGAGGATGACATCAGTACGATTATGGTTCAGGGGAGATCTCTTTTCACTTGGGAAACTCTTCTTTGACAATAGTTTTATTCCTCACACCACCATATTTATGGATGAGCAATGGGGTCAAACACTTTACGGCTAGAGCATCCATCAGTCATACCTCCCTATCTAGGAACTTTCCAACACCAAACTTGTCTATCCCCCAAATAAATAAAAGTAAAAGGCATCACGAAACCAGCTAAAATTCAAGTCATACACAACTCACTCAATTCCAGTAAATGACAACTGTTTTGACCACTAGCATTCTTTCTACTGGGTAGCAATAACCGCAATGAGATTTCGTCTGAGCTTAATTCCATCCAAGTGCTACCAGAGAAGCACTTGATACTAGTTCTTTGCTCATAAATGAGCTTCAAATTCACAATCTAAGGACTGGACAACTTTGTCCTTTGCCTTCATCAGATGATTCTCTCATTTGCGACTAAACATTCTAAAGGTCATTGCTTTATTATTCTAAACAATAGCGGGTGCTCTAATAAAAAAATTCAGCTAATTTTGTGTTGTTAATTATAATTTGGTCATCCTGAAATTCAACCAACAGTTATGAATGTCAACACTTACATATTAAACAGATTTACTAACAAATGGTTTACAATAACTCACTAACTGAGGTAAGGTTGGCCGATCTATTTCTTCTTAAGGAAATGGGCAAAAGAAGATAATCACATAGCACACAACTCAGCGAGCACTAAATTATACCAGGACAAATGCCAGGAAGATAACATCCTCAAGAAATGAGTCTCATAGGAGCATAACAGAAACAACAAGCATTCACTAGGTCAAATATATCTATCAACAGTCATCACCACTCACCAATTCAAAGAATTGCAAACAAAGGATTGAGGGTGAAAAACAATATATCTATTGGAAATGATTAGTTTCCCATTGAGTGTGCAAATAAACAAATGACATAGACCGCATATTCAAGTTAAACCACATTCAACTGCCCCAAAACAGAATTCATAGAATTTTCTCACACTTTATAATTTATCAGCAACTGACATCAACACATATATGAATTATGAAATAACCATAACCATCAAAGGAAATAGCTAAGAAAAAAAATAATGGAAAAGACACCAAAATTATGAAACAAAAATGAATGTGCGAACAAAAAAAAAGTACGACAACTAACCTTTTCATCATAAAAGGGTCATACATACATACATACATACATACATACATACATATCTGTAAGGAACTAGAGGGATTTGAATGCTTACCCAGTGGCATCAGCAACATTTCTTGATATCTTCATCTTCCGAGTTGACCCTGTGTAAAGCTCCTCTAGACTACAAGGCAACTTGTTCTCAAGAGGTGGTGCTTTTCTTGGACCTGTAGGTCCACCCTCATTGGACGTTCTAAACATGTTTTCGCCATCAAAATCACTGAACATGCTCGCATCATGGAATCGAACAGATCTGCCACCACCTGGGCCTGCTGAATTGAACCCACCCACGGCAACAAATTGGCTCTGTCCAAAGAATTCAGCGAATATATCCTCTGCATTTCTAGAGTTGAAATGAAAGAACTTGGACCCACCTCCCCCATTTGCAAATGGAAAAGGACTACCTGAACCTGGTGGTGGAACTTGACCCTTTAATCCCTCTTCACCAAATTGATCATAGATCTGCCTCTTTTGGGGATCACTCAAAACCTGATAGAGAGAGAGAGCGAGAGGGTGAGAGGGCGAATTTAGTGATCAAATTTGGATAAAAAGAAAAACGGATTGAAAATAGAGCCTCCTCCAGGAAAGTAGATGGGTGAATGAACTGTTTCTTAAAATATTTTTCTCTCGTTTTGATAGTATTTTTTGTTTTTATAAAAATCATTATCTTACTAAATAACATGATAAGAAAATTCTATACGAGCCCATTAATTCTTGCAAATTATTTAAAATATTGTGGAGAAATTTAATAAAATTGTGAATGGAACGGACAAGAAAATCTTGAATTGAACCACCTATCAGCACAATTTCTTTTTCTTATTTTTGAGAAATAATGCAAGAGATTCAGAAAAGCCATAAGAAAGGGTTCATGCAGGAAATGAATCATATTACGCGCTTCTTTTTTTTTTTGGGCTGGGAAAAATGTGTAATATCAAGTAAACTGCCTCACAAAAGGCAAGATATGGAAGGGACATAAAAAACATGATCATGAACTAGGTAAACAATTTAATATGTCCACAAAATTGATATTTGCAATAAAATAAATAAATGAATCCGAATTTGTCGTCCTTAATACATGCATGGCACAAACTTAATACATGCGTGGCACAAACAACAATATATAGGATTTTTCGCTTCTAAAATATCAAAGCATTTCTAACAACGTTCAAATCTAGATTAAGAGAAGATCAATGCAAAATAAAATAATTTCCAAAAGGGAAAAATATGGAACCAAGCTTCTTCCAGCCAAAACTCAATCCACGGCAAATGGATCTGCAGAATTAATAAGAGATAGAACACATAATTTATAAATTAAATAGAAATAAGCACTCTCTAAGTGGATCAGTCAAACAAACAGTAATTCAAGAAGGGAAAAGAACCATGGAAAAATACATAGAAACCTAAATCCAGAAAAAGAGAGAGAACACTTACATCATAAGCCTCAGAGATCTGCTTAAATTTGGCCTCGGCTTCTTTCTTGCTGTTAGGGTTCTTATCAGGGTGCCATTTCATAGCCAATCGCCTGTAAGCCTTCTTTAGATCCTCATCTGTAGCATTTCTGCTCACCTTCAAAATGTTATAGTAATCCACACCCATTCCCCACCTTTTTCTCTCTGATAACGCTAGATATTCACGATGCACAAATTTCACCTGATATCAAATTCAACTCTCTGGCTCTAGGTTTTTATAAAACCCCAAACATTCAGAATGAATCTCTCTGATACGAATGATACCGAAAACACCTCGCTCTTCCTGTTTCAGATATACCCTAGAAAATTCAGGATGATTGGACACCAAAACAATTTCTTATTAACCGCCTGAAAGCTTGAAAAGCAGTAGTTACAGTCCGCGTGTAGAGACAAAAATCGCTTATATTAATTAGGAGTTTGAGGGAAACACGATTCGGCAAGAGGAGAGAGAGAGAGAGAGAGAGAGAGAGAGAGAGAGTAGAGACGTACGTACGGTAGTTCGTCGTTGTACTACGACGACAACTAACGTACTACTTACCGTTACCGTTTTCTTCGTTCGTTCGTTTCGTTACGGTCGTA